TTAATTTTGCCTGATGAAATCTGCAAAGATCAAAATACTAAATTACTAGATGACTATAAAATTTCAATTCCTATTCAAGGGATCCATTTCCAATGTACCCTTAATCCTCTTTAGGAAAGGAATCTAGGGTCAAATCAGTTCAAACTCTAAATGAAGCCAGTGGGAGTTGTATTGCTGAATTCAGTAGAAATTCAGCCTGATGGAAAATGGAAAATAAGCGGGTGATGAAGGTTCCATCTGTTCAGGTATCTAGCATACCAAACACAGTTAACCAGTTTGCCATCCAAGAATTCACTACTCCAACTCAAGGGGGGAAGTGGTGGCTTCATTTATTTTCATTTTTCATTGTTTTTCCATTCTAAAGTACAACACCTTGGACTGCACAGGGAATTTTAAAAAACAGCACTATTACTGACAACCAGTAGCTCTCTCATTCTCAGCTGCTGGCTACCAGCTGCTTCTCTAGTTTGGTTTCCATGAAAAATGGAAGTCAAACAGATAAAAATGCAGTGAGGGGAAATGTTTAAATACAACTGCAAGTGCCAGTTTCAAGAACCAGTTACAGGAGATCAGGCTATTCAAGCCTGTAATAGTATAAATGTGAAGAGAATAGTTCCAATTTTTAAATGATTGGCCTCAGCATCCATTCTTACAGTAGGGCACCTGAGGGGAGGAAAACAGCATGAGGATTTCCCCAAATCATTCCAAGAGGAGGTAGGGGTGAATGAACAGCACTTCCACACTTATAACACTATAAAAAGAAAAGGAGTACTTGCGGCACCTTAGAGACTAACCAATTTATTTGAGCATAAGCTTTCGTGAGCTACAGCTCACTTCATCGGATGCATACTGTGGAAAGTATAGAAGATCTTATTATACACACAAAGCATGAAAAAATACCTCCCCCCACCCCACTCTCCTGCTGGTAATAGCTTATCTAAAGTGACCACTCTCCTTACAATGTGTATGATAATCAAGGTGGGCCATTTCCAGCACAAATCCAGGGTTTAACAAGAACGTCTGGGGGGGGGGGGGGGAGGTGTAGGAAAAAGCTATGGGAAATAAGTTACCTTGCATAATGACTTTGCCACTCCCAGTCTCTATTCAAGCCTAAGTTAATTGTATCCAATTTGCAAATGAATTCCAATTCAACAGTTTCTCGTTGGAGTCTGGATTTGAAGTTTTTTTGTTGTAATATTGCAACTTTCATGTCTGTAATCGCGTGACCAGAGAGATAGAAGTGTTCTCTGACTGGTTTATGAATGTTATAATTCTTGACATCTGATTTGTGTCCATTTATTCTTTTACGTAGAGACTGTCCAGTTTGACCAATGTACATGGCAGAGGGGCATTGCTGGCACATGATGGCATATATCACATTGGTGGATGTGCAGGTGAACAAGCCTCTGATAGTGTGGCTGATGTTATTAGGCCCTGTGATGGTGTCCCCTGAATAGATATGTGGGCACAGTTGGCAACGGGCTTTGTTGCAAGGATAGGTTCCTGGGTTAGTGGTTCTGTTGTGTGGTATGTGGTTGCTGCTGAGTATTTGCTTCAGGTTGGGGGGCTGTCTGTAGGCAAGGACTGGCCTGTCTCCCAAGATTTGTGAGAGTGTTGGGTCATCCTTCAGGATAGGTTGTAGATCCTTAATAATGCGTTGGAGGGGTTTTAGTTGGGGGCTGAAGGTGACGGCTAGTGGCGTTCTGTTATTTTCTTTGTTAGGCCTGTCCTGTAGTAGGTGACTTCTGGGAACTCTTCTGGTTCTATCAATCTGTTTCTTCACTTCCGCAGGTGGGTATTGTAGTTGTAAGAATGCTTGATAGAGCTCTTGTAGGTGTTTCCCACCATCAACCTCAGCCTGGTCCAGTCCACACAAGAGATCCACTTCCTGGACACTAGAGTGCTAATAAACGATGGTCACATAAACACCACCCTATACCGGAAACCTACTGACCGCTACTCCTACCTACATGCCTCCAGCTTTCACCCTGACCACACCACACGATCCATCGTCTACAGCCAAGCTCTGCGATACAACCGCATTTGCTCCAACCCCTCAGACAGAGACAAACACCTACAAGAGCTCTATCAAGCATTCTTACAACTACAATACCCACCTGTGGAAGTGAAGAAACAGATTGATAGAGCCAGAAGAGTTCCCAGAAGTCACCTACTACAGGACAGGCCTAACAAAGAAAATAACAGAACGCCACTAGCCGTCACCTTCAGCCCCCAACTAAAACCCCTCCAACGCATTATTAAGGATCTACAACCTATCCTGAAGGATGACCCAACACTCTCACAAATCTTGGGAGACAGGCCAGTCCTTGCCTACAGACAGCCCCCCAACCTGAAGCAAATACTCAGCAGCAATCACATACCACACAACAGAACCACTAACCCAGGAACCTATCCTTGCAACAAAGCCCGTTGCCAACTGTGCCCACATATCTATTCAGGGGACACCATCACAGGGCCTAATAACATCAGCCACACTATCAGGGGCTTGTTCACCTGCACATCCACCAATGTGATATATGCCATCATGTGCCGGCAATGCCCCTCTGCCACGTACATTGGCCGAACTGGACAGTCTCTACGTAAAAGAATAAATGGACACAAATCAGACGTCAAGAATTATAACATTCATAAACCAGTCGGAGAACACTTCAATCTCTCTGGTCACGCGATTACAGACATGAAAGTTGCAATATTACAACAAAAAAACTTCAAATCCAGACTCCAGCGAGAGACTGCTGAATTGGAATTCATTTGCAAATTGGATACAATTAACTTAGGCTTGAATAGAGACTGGGAGTGGCTAAGTCATTATGCAAGGTAACCTATTTCCCATAGTTTCCCCCCCCCCCCCCCCCCCCCCCGTTCTTGTTAAACCCTGGATTTGTGCTGGAAATGGCCCACCTTGATTATCATACACATTGTAAGGAGAGTGGTCACTTTAGATAAGCTATTACCAGCAGGAGAGTGGGGTGGGGGGAGGTATTTTTTCATGCTTTGTGTCTATAAAAAGATCTTCTATACTTTCCACAGTATGCATCTGATGAAGTGAGCTGTAGCTCACGAAAGCTTATGCTCAAATAAATTGGTTAGTCTCTAAGGTGCCGCAAGTACTCCTTTTCTTTTTGCGAATACAGACTAACACGGCTGTTACTCTGAAACCTATAACACTATGGATCTTGAAGAATCTGCAGAAGGCAAGAGCTATCCACATACAGGCTGGCTACCTCCACAATGGCTCAGGCCTGCCCCTCCTCTGATTCGCAGCTGTACCATCAGCCCCTTCTCTGGCCCCAGCTATCTGAAGACCCCCTTAAAGGAAGATTCCGCTGTGTCAAGAGGTTCAACAGAAGAGGTAATAGAGCTTAGCAGAAGAGCCTGGAGCTGTTTTACCTCTCCCTAGTAAATGATGATGAACTGGTAAGGAGATAATGAGGACCCTCCCAATGTCTAGCCTAAACCTGTCCACTTCCCATTTCTCCTCTATGCAAATCTTAACTCATGGAGAGCCTTTTGCAGAGTCCCAGAAAAAGGGTGGTGGTGCTGCGGAGGCAGCAGGGGAGAACCACACATAGAAGTATATTTACAAGTATATTTTGGAGGCAGAATGTGGCCCATCATATCCTTTGAAAGGATCTGTTTTTAAAGGGACCAAGTGTCTTTACATATAATAATCCCTTTAAAAATTAATTTTATATATGTAACATTTTCAGTAATACACATTGTTTATTCTGTGATCATGAAGGGCCAATACAGGATAATAATCACACAGATTTTTAGTAGTAGTAGTAAACATTTCTATTATAAGAGTGCCCAAAGTCTTAGGACCCCATTGTGCTAGGTGCTGTACAAACACTGGGGAAAAAAAGAGATTCATATATAAATATAGCAACACACAGCAGGAAAAAATCCTCCCCCCATTTCCTCAGAAAAAATAACTTCACAAATATTTATCATATTTATTTAACACTCATTAAAACTCTATTTTAATTAAAGCAATAAAAAAACCTTTTGAGATATGCATTTATAACAGGACTTCCCCTGTCTTTAGCCTTTAACCTTGTGTTTCAGTACATATGTAAGGTATACAGCTAGCCAGTGTAACCGCAAACCTTGTCATCCTTGATACTTACTTGGATACCAGTCCTGTGCCACTGAGATCAGTATGAATTTCCAATGGGGTGCTTAAGTACTGGAATGCACAGAAATGGAATGATCGGTTAAAATGTGCCTGAGTGGGTTTTTTTAATTTAATATATTAAAACTTAATTTATTAAATTTAAGACAACTTAAAACAATTCTCCATCCGGTAGCCACATACACGTTAATACCACCTTCTAATATGGCAAGTGGAATCCTAATTTTTTAAACTTATCTTTACAAACGGAGATCTACAAGACATATGTAACTTAGGCACAAACTCGGCAAAGAAGCTTCAGCACTAATGACAGCCCCTGGACATGATTATTATTAATAATGATGGATTATTAAGCTGCTGGGAGAAGGGGTGCTAGCAATGCCAGAGGCAGACACAAAATAAGAAGAGACCATCCTTCAGCTCACCCCAGTACCTCACAGAAACCAGTTGAATGTTATGGGCTACACCTTCATCGTTTACACACACCAGTTGCTTGCAGGAGAGCAGGATTTGGGCCCGGAGTATTTAACATGGCTCTTCCGGTCTCATTAATCACTAGATGGTAGAAAGCGTGAGGTCGAAAGCCGTGACAATGTGCTCCCATGGGGCGATGCCGCTCCCTCGGGGGATCCAGGGCTGATGCGGCTAGGATTTTAGCAGTGCACTGATTATATACCCGCGCTGCCTATTTAACCAAACAGCACCCGAGGGCTAAATTAACCGACATAAATAATTCAGATATCCCCCACAGAATGAAAGGCTAGAGCCCCTGCATTGTTCTGGAAATGTGCAACTGAATGCAGATAGTCACAGAACACCTTAGTCAATTTCAAATCCCGCCTCCCTGCTTTTACTTGTTCTGCTTGAAAGCCAGCCTGTGGGAAAAGCCAGCCTTGCAGTCTGTGTGACATTGTTGCTTGCATGGTAAGGACCCCTCTGACACGTCAACGAAGGTGCTGCTGTGCCTCCAGGTGCCATGTCCCAGAACCTTATGTTTCAGGAGGGAAGGTAGCCTGCAGGCTCCGGTAATCCAAGAGAGAAATCGCTGGGCAGCCGCTCTTGCGGCTGCTGCAGCATCTGGATGGGAGTGCAGCAAAGATTTGCTGATGCCTCTCACGTAGTATTTTGCAGGAAGTTTCCATACTTCTTCAGGTGAATCGGTAGAGGGGGCGGGGGTTGGAGGGAAGCGGGGCTGAATCATCCTAAAGGGTCTTTCTTACTTTCTTTCTTTAATCCAGTTCGAGAATTTCCAACCGCATCTTGACCCAAGTGTTTGGAGAGGAGTCCCCAAGCGATGCGTCCATCTGTCTGAAGAAACGGCCACGGATGACCCCTGGAGCCTCTGGTGGGGGTTGTAGGGATGTGTCGCGTGGGGAGCCTCACTGGGTTTGTGGCCACAAGGGAGGATCCCAGCAGACATAGGCTCAATCCTGAGCTTTCAACAGCTTGAGAACCTACTGCAACTTCTGCAGTTCATCAGCATGGGGAGAGGGGACAAGGAAGAATGGGGTTTGTATTGCTAGGTTTTCATTCGATAAGGATGCTTCTCTATCTAGTTACAAAACAAGAAGGGCGGGGTGGGGGGGCTGTGCACATCTTGGCTGGAGAATTGCCCTGGTTTTGTCTGTTTAAATTTTGCAGGATATCTTGAGCTTGCTATGCTCTTTTGTTATGATTTCCTAGCTTTGCTGTAGATCTGCTTTTAATAATGCATTTAATGACTGTATTATGGCCAGGTAAGGGATATTCTCAGAGAAAGCTTCTCTTAGGGTAAGACAAAATAGGCAGTTTGTAGCAGAAATTAAATGTTTTTTTCAATACTGCTTCTTGAAATTGGCTGTAAATGATTATAGACTGAATTCTATGTTTTTGTAAATACAGAAGTGTCCTGGTGCAAAAGGATGCCAAAGAGAAGTGAAAGCTATAGATATAACTGTATATCAACAGTTGCCTTGCAGATACTTCATATCTATGGTACAAATATAGTACATGCTCATGGCCAGTGTATTGCATTATTTTATGTTCACAAGTCGAAGAAGGATGATGACACTGAATCTTCTGTTTTTCTATTCTGTGTCTCACTTATCCAGACATCCCTAGCTCATAAGAATAAAAAGTGCATTACGGAGCACAGGATCTACCACCAAATGGATACTCTAGGTATTGTGCATTTACTAGGAGTAAAATCCTGTCTTTTTATATTGTATATAAAGGGGGTGGCAATCCCTTGCTGGCTCAGATTTGCAGGGGAATGCACAGTGGAATGGAATTTACTGCTGCTCCAAAAAGATGCAGTATGTCCTGTGATTACATACTGTAGGCCACACCTGGCCCTACTACACTCTCAGAATGGCTAATTACACCCTTCTGATACAAAACAGTGCTGGGCAGCATGGCACTGGGCTCCCTGCATAACATTCTCTTGAATGCCAGGTTTGGGATCATGACCTGCTGGATGTATAGGGTGGGAAGAAGAGGCTGACTTTCCTGCAATGATTTAGGGATGCAGTATGTGTATTAACTGAAGTGAGGCTGGCTCTGCAGTCACAGAGATGTTCTCGTGACATTTCCAGACCAGTGTTGTCATCTCAGATGGTCCAGATGGTTTGGATAAACTTCCAAATTCATGGAAACTGGAGAGAACTTTTTGAGGTGTACCCATCACTAATCCTCTCCCTTCATTACCTCCTTCAAATTCCTGCTACAGCAGTTGTACCACCCTGAAGGGCCACTCCTCCAGAGACAGCTTTTTAAAGATATTTAGATATATAAAGATGCATACAGGCACCTAAGTGCTTTTGAAAATCCCAGTATGTGCCTGTCAGCATCTTTAGGCACCTAAATACCTTTTAAAATTCTTAGAAGCATTAATCTGGAATCCAGGCCATTTGAAGCATCATCAGAATGACGGGGTCACTGCAACACTGCTTCAGCCATGCAACCTCCAGTACTTCCTGAATGATAACTATCTGCGTACCATGGAATGACTTTTTATTACTATTATGTGATTACAGGAGCCACCTGAAACTCATTAAGCACAATTAGTTTTTTTAACCTGGCTTTTAATATGTAATGTGAATTCTCAGTCAACCCAGGCTTGATCATGCAAGGATCTGAGTCCTCTCAACTCCTGGTGACTTCAGTGGGACTTAAGTGTACCCAGCACCTCACAAGATTGGGCCCTTACACAATGATCTTTACAACAAAACCTGTTTGTTTTTGAGGGTAAGGCTAATATCCAACATGTGAGGAAGACTCTTAAGGAAGTCTTATAATCAGCAACCTTTGGAGGCTGTGGTCAGACTTCTCAGACCCTTTCCCAAGAACATGTGGAATTACTGTTGACACTTTCTTTTTCCAAAGTTTGGAAATGTGAGGGTGGGTAACTAGGGTTGCACAAAAAGTTCATATCAAAACCCTCAAACCACCCATAATCAGGGTTGGATTCTAACGGAACTTTAAACATCAGCCCAGGTCCACAAACATTTGGTGGATATGGGTTGATGCTGTTACAATAATCTTAGGCACTCCAACTTATCTACCTATTTATCTAGGCTTCTATACTGTGCTCACTACCATCTTTTGACCTCCTTAGCACCATTCATCCAGCAATGTCCAGTTGCTCCCGACCCTCTGCTTACCATTGTCATCCATGGGGGTGAAGCATTTGTTCCACTCTTGCTTCCTGGTGGCCCCCTTTCTGGTCTTGCAGGGGCATCAGATGGCCTTTTCCACAACAACAGGCTATTCAGGGATCCTTGCTTCTCCCAATCCAGAGGGATTTTGAAGCGCAGTTGAGTGAAACTACATGGAAGCAAACTGTAGAACCTGGACCAATAGGGATTGGTTTGGTGAAAACTCCTGACAAATGAACCCTACAAGTTCTAGTTCCTATAATGCATGCCTCTGCTCTCTGACCTAGTGGTTACCTACATACTTTGTTGGATTAGGACCCTCTAACATTCATGGTCTTTTTTCCTCATGATTTTACTCTAGCGCAGATGACATTATGTATGCATAACTGCTGGCTGCGGCCTTCAGTCACCAATCTGTAAACAGATTTATAATGTAAACATATCCCATTCCCCCAAACAAGTAAAATCTTACTTTTATATGGTACACATGTAGTACCAAATTCTCCACTCCAATCTGTGAGCATGCAAGGCCTGAAATGCAGTGGAAATACTACATCTCTGCTGCTCAGGATGGGGAGAAGGAGAGCTCAGGACTCAACAGACACACACAATATGGATTGACAGGCCCAAGGCCCCTGCACAAGAAATATACACTATTACTCCATATAGCCAATGGCACCCACAGAGTTGTTCCACCCCACTACTGCAGGTTGGGGCCAAGAATTCTGTTCCTCAGCCCTGTATGCATTTCCTTGTACTCCCTGTCAATTTACTCAGGCTTTGCATGCTGAAGATTTGACCCATAATTGCCAGTATGATGAACTGAATAATAAATAAATAAAATAATATCAGTGTGGGCTAATAGCAAATGTTTAGTAGAGCAAGCATGCAAGGACCAATAGCAATGCTTGTTTCCTAGTCTGTGTGAGAAATCAGCCCAAATATTGGTCTAATCCTATTAATTAAGCCATAGGGTCCAGTGCATAATACTCCTGTTGGTGATTTAATACAGGGTTTTATGTGTCTCTTCTTCATTCCTGAATTATGTGATCATCCTAGCTCATTAAAATAAATGGTGTTACTTGCAGGTTTGGTTTGGCTTGTAAACTGTATCTTATCTTGGAACCTGCTTCTGCACTCGTTTCTCAGGCAAAACTCCCATGGACTCCAATGGGAGAGGATTTTTGCCAAAGTAAGACTGCAAGATTGGGAGTTTATGTTCCTCTGGGAGTTGGGGGCAGAGCCCCTCTGATTTCTGTGGACTTCACATAGGCACAAGTGTCCCCCTCCTGCAGAACCAATTGCAGAGCCAGGGCTATAGTTTGTCTCAGAGACTTCTGTATCTTTTATGGGTGTACTTTTTTTTCTGGCACTGTGTCTTCTTGCTTTAGTGTACAAATCATTTCCCAGTATAAGCCTTTCATTTTTTTAATTTCTCAGAGTCCTTGGACTCCTGCAAGGAGAACTTTATTCTTGGCTGGATCCTGTTACATATAATGGATTTGGGCAACAATCTGAGAATTCTGTGATTTTACTCTCCAATCTCTGCAGCTGTTAAACTTTCTGGAAAAACTGGAAACGTGCCTTACATGAAAACGTGTGAATCAGGTGGTTTCATCTATTACATTTGTTTTCTTCATATAGATATCAATTATTATTATTCAATTGCTGTTGACGTTAATTTTGGTTACTACGGGTCATATAGTGGCACCTGGTCTCTCACCGAGTAGCACCATATGCCGTAAATTGTACCATTTGGTTCAATGGCACAACTCACAGAACAAGACATTACTCAACAGGAGTAAAGATCTCATGGCTCTGATGGACAAGCCTCTAAGTATGAGGAATTAATTTTGCTAATGAACAATGCAGAGGTTTGGACTTGGAGTCAGGGAGAGGAAAGAGATGGTGGTGGTGAGGTGCTTAAACCAACATTTTCCAAACCTTAAAACAGGTGCAGGTTGTAGGGCCAAATCCAATGGGTATAAATCAATGTAGCTCTAGTGAAGTCAATAGCTCTACACTGACTCACATCAGCTAAACATCTGGCCCCCAGTTTTTAACCGTATCCTTCCTTCTATTTTATCCTTACTCCTTATTATGGACTAAATTAAACGGAAGCTGCAAAAGAAAAAAATAGGTTTGCTTTCTGTCCTTTTCTTTTCTCCTTCCCTGTTTTTTAATTTTGGTTCTTTATGATCTATATAAAGAAATATGGAGGTTATCAGGAGGGAAAGAGAAGATCCAAACAAGGATCTTTTACTGGTTACCTTTTGTTTTTTCTGGGATGACTTGGAAATTTATAATGCTTCCTTGGAGAAAGGGTGTTGAACAAAAGGAATGTTTTCCCCAAGTGTTTTAGTTAAATAGGTGTTAACAGCCAACAAAAACAAACAAACGATCAGCCTAAAAATTATTTGTCCCCCCCCCACCCCCCCGGTGGTACTCGCTATGTTATAATCCTACCAGTTCTCTAGTTGTCCATAGAGTCATCAGGGAAGGCAGGATATCAGTTTCTAACAGGAAACCAAGCAGACAAAAATTATGAAGAGAAGAAAAACCTCTTTTGCCTTCTTTATCATTATAAAGAAGCTAATAAAAAGGGGTGGGGGAGTCCAATTTCTTTCCCCTTTGCAGATCACCTATAATGCTATGACACCTTGAGGTCTGCTGAGTTGTGGCAGTGGTGATGAGGCAGGTGTGACACCTGAGTGGAAGTGGCTGGAACATAATGCCCATGTAAGGCTAAGGCAGGTGTATTGCTCCCAAGAGCACGGGAGAAAGCATGTTCAGAAATGTTACTTGTACACTTCTAAATATGGTGGAATGTGTGCTCAGTCAGCACCAGTCTCAAGGCATTAGCTGGTGTGTATGGGTGGGGCCCTGGCCATGTTCCCTAGCCCACCTGGCCACACCATCTTTGCAGCTTTTACTGCCACTACATGGGCTAGCGAGCCCTGCCTCACTCCCCCCCACCAACACTAAGGGAGCACAAATCCCAGCATGGGCTACCTCCAGCGTGAGTGCACTAGAAAGGAGGAAGGGTTCCCTGCACGCCCTTCCCAGGCTAGTGCACTCATGCAAGGGCAAACCATAATTTGGCTCTGTGTATTTTGGGCCCTTCTACATTTCTTGCACTCTCCCGCCCAAACTTCCAGTGAAGTTAGTGGATGTTTTTAAAGTGCCACGAATGCGGGATTGCACCCTTTGTGTACTGCTTATTAATGATGCTTTGAATGAGGAAGCTGTTTTAAGGCTCCTAAATCAGTGTCTTGGGGAACAGCAACATTTTAAAAGGGAAAATAATGGTGATGAGAACAGCATAATGAGGGAAAGAAAAAGATTCTCGCTTCTCCCATTAACCTTTCCGCATACACTAATGGGTGTAAGGATTTCTAATTTCAGTTTGGTGGGGACATATACACTGTGCACCCTTGGGAGCTGGCACATGGCTCAGCCTGCCAATCTGAATGTAGCTTTCGACAGTCTGTGGCCCCAGCCAGACTCTAATCATGTTTATGCTCTACTGAGTAACAATCACATAGGACAGGAATTCAGAAAAGCAAGTACGCAACTGCACAAGCACATTATCTTTCATTTAACACTACTTACACATACACATGATTAGTGAGAAGTTAAACATTCAGCTGGTCATTTTTACAAGCATTTTTAGGCATGCATTTGTCTGAAAATGGAGCCCAAACAATATTATATAAAAATGACATTTTCATTCTGTACGTTTGGTTTATTGCCATTAGAGTTCTAGGCTAAAATACATGGGCCCAATCCATTAGTCTGACTCAGGTAAAATGCCCATTGAAGACAATGGGTGTTTCACCAGATTAAGGACTCAGATACTGATAGTGCAAGCTCTCCAGCATAAATTTCCCATTTAGCTCTGCACATGGAGGCCTTGCAAGCTCTGACCAGGATTTTGCCCAGTCTGATAAAATGCCATCTAGCGCTGCCTTGCAAAATTTCACATGCCCGTGGCCAGTAGTTTTCTATTTTGGGTGGGAGGGACAAGCAAGTAAATTATCAGTTTGTCATTGTCATTGTCAGGATTAGCAACTCCAACTAGCTTTCGTTCAGGGACTACCAATTTCTAATGACAGTGTTGCCAGGCTGATTTGGGGGTACAAAAATGTACTTTCACTATTAATGCCCATGGAGTTTTTGTTTTCAAAATTTTTTTATGCTCTAAGGACTATGTTACATTTGTCCATAACCAAACTGACTCCACTTTTGTGTACAGGCAAAGAAGGAATACGAGTGAAAATTCTGAAGACTCACCAGTATGTGACACCCAATGATGAGCAGTAGCTACTGCAGCAACGCTTCAGCCAGCATGAGTGTCAACGAAGTATCCACCTTCTCACTGACTTTAGAGCAAAAAACTGGCTTTGCCTTCGTAGGGATTCTGTGTGTTTTCTTGGGACTACTTATTATTAGATGCTTCAAAATCTTACTGGACCCCTATAGTAGCATGCCTTCTTCCACTTGGGAAGATGAAGTCGAGGGTCTTGATAAAGGAACGTTTGAATATGCTCTTGCATGAAAACTCAAGAGTATCCTGCCTTACTTTTGATGTTGATTTCATTTTGATGTTGATTTCATTTTGAAAACCTAGTACTGATACATTTGTACTATATACCTATGTTTTGAAGATATGATGGTGGCATCCATTTTGTTAAATAAATATTTGTTGTAGACTTATAAAAGCATCTCATGCTGCTTTTATTTTGGGAATTTGCCTTTTGTGAAGCTGGGGTAAGAAACAGCTAATAGCAAAGAAAGACTTTAGGGAGACGATTCACTAAACATTCAGTGAGGAGAAGTGGCAGAGAAATCTCTTGAGAATCAGACCCGTCACCTGTCTCTTCATAGGCAGAATTCATGCCACAACATCACATCAGTGACAAAGAGGGATGGGTGGGAAATATTTTTGGAGGGTAAACATAATAGTAACTCCCAACTCATCCAAACATGATTTCTTTAAGTCCAGAAACTGACCTTGGAGACCTCATATGCAAAAATTGAATCAGCCCAATGTACTGGACGAGTTTAGCTTGCAAGACTAAACAGCACAACAGGATCACAGCACAAGGGGAGATGCCTGCAGGTACTCATGTGTCTGCATGTGGAAACTCTTGTTTTCAGTTACTAAGAGAACAGAAAAACCACCGTAGGAGCTAATGGTTACTGCAGTCACTAATGAAAGTCCCACCCTCAAACACCTGGAGGTGCTGTCACATTGGCTAAATCCATGTGAGAGGAGCATGCTGCTGCTGCTGCTACTATATCCGGTGTTTCCACAGTCTTTTCAGAACAATGTATAGGGCTCTTTCTTGCTCCCAGTCTGAGAAAACTGTTTACACTTGCCGAAACAAAACTTCCTGTCTCCTGCTCTAATCAAATTCTTAGATGACCAAGCAAGAGTTATTAGGGTGGGAGTGGGGGGTAAATGTCATTAAAGATGGTTTGGTTGCTATACATACGATATATGGTACACTCAGCATTGCAAGACACGTGCCCATCTCAAAAATCCAACCAGAGCCTCTAATTCCATCCCCACATCCTCATACAGCTGAAAATTGGTTAGTGGCTTTGCAGAAAGCAAAGTCATTCTGAGAGATTGACAGAGATGAGGGGAGGGGAAAAGAAAAAAGCAAGGACCCAGTCCTCCAGTCTAATTGAGCTGTGCTTAGAGCAGGACCTAACGGGGTGTATAGCTATTTTCGCAGCACCTTTGTGCTTCTCTGGGGACTGATTCAGAAGTTGGAACAGCCTTTGCTGCTCTAACTTGTGTTGGATGGTAATAGCCCCCAGTAGCCATAATACCAGCTGGGGATTGCCAGAGTACAGAGGCAATCTGCAAGCCCCTCTATGCCAGTGGATCAAAAGAGGATAGAACCTAGACCTGGTTATGCCAGTTGTGCATCATCCAGTGATTCCCCCCATGCTAGAAAAGCCTCGACAGGCAGGGCAGGACAGCTTTTCAGTCTCTTTGCACTACCAGAGTGGTGCAACGGGGCAAATCAGGGGCCAGGATCTGGCCCTACCATTGGATTTTATTTGGATTGTCACTCTGAGGAATTTTGTGGCAGAGGGTTCTAGTAAGACAGAAGAAAGAGAGAAAAAACAGAAGCTGAGTAGTAATACCTCAAGGTCACCTCTTAGCGCAAATAGCTGCTGTGTGAGAGTGTCAGAACTTGACAGTAATTTGATTCCACTTTTGAGAAACTTGGAATCAGACTTTTGTTTAGGCATTGTCACTCTCACTAAACAGCTATGCATGCTAAGAGATGCAAAGACAAGAAGATGAGTTGTAGTGATTGTTTGTTTTACAGTAATTCAGCAAAATCCATATTGTGCCACATGCCATATTTGCTAGACAAGTGGCAGTGAAGGGAACTTGGCTAAGGAAAATGCCACTCACAGGGGAAGACACTGTATTATATGGGAAAAGCCATGAATATCATGCCTGAGGCTCATGGCAAGAAAGAGAACAGTACTGGTGGTACTGACTCTTGTTGGTGGTCTTCTCCATCCAAAGTGTACAATGTAAAAAGCTGTGTCCTGGAACATGTAACATTTAAATGGCTTGGGTTCCAATGTGAGAAACCTTTGAGGCCACATAGCTCCAATAAACTCTATTTATTTTTGTTTTAATTCAAACATAAATCAAGTACCTACCGTACAAAATTATCCAGTGCAGAGCCTTAGCACACTGTACACATGCTCATAACTATCCTTTTCATCTTGGTAACAAGAAATAATATACTATTTCATTTTTGCTCTGGTCCATGAACTGTACTTAGTTCTTTGACTTGACAATATTTTGTAGCCATATACCAAATTCCATTTTGATTATAAAGCAACATTAGTTGTTTCTCCATCAAAAGGAAAGACTCAAGCCTACAAGAAGGAGTGCACAAGGCTGGAACTTTTCAAAAGGCTTTCCTCAAAAATACAGGGCAAGGTTTTGAACAGAGAGAGACTCAAAAAAGTTCACACACAGCCTGATTCTCCTCTCATGTATTCTTATCCCCAATTTACTGATGGGGAAATCAAGGCACGGAGCCAGGAAGGTTAAATGACCTCATCAAGGTCATAAGGAGAGTCAGTGGTCTCATCCATGCTGGGGATCTAAATTAATTCAGGATTATGCATAAACATGTTTCCAGCTAAACCAGTTTCTAACAGTGTTGCTGGGGATGTTGACGGGGCTAACCGGCATTCTAAAATGTGTTATAGCTGAACCAAGGAGCTGAGCAGGCCATGATTTTAAACAGTGCCAGCAAAGTGTGACCCCAAGAAACTTTGTTTTTTTAAACACAATTCCCAAACTCTTTTCAAAGACCTGTCCAAAGCTAGGCTTAGAGCGCCAGAGTACCTGGCACCCAAACCTATACTCGGACCATTAGGCTATGCCTTCTTCAGCATGAAGGTTTATATTAACTCCCTGGATAGTGCCACTGTCCAAGTCTCAGATGTGGTGATAGGCACATCACCCACACAAGCTGAAGTTTACCTAGTCTGGAGGCTCAAGCTCAAGGACTACGCCCAGTAGGCATGAGTTTCAATCCCAAGAGGGGAGTTTACTGATAATTATGTAGCTGGCAGATCCCACAAACACATCTTTGCAAAGTCAGAGTAGTCTGTGAACAAATAAACATGCTCATTTCAAATGCAACAACTACTTGGCCCAATTCTGCTACATGTACTGTTGAGATGGACGACTTGTGGCTAAGGCACTGGATGGGGATTCAGGAGATCCGGATTCAATTCCCAGCTGTGCCACATTACCAGTGAGACCCTGGGCAAGTCACTTACTCTCTGTGTGCTTCTATTACCCATCTTTAAAACAGAGATCATAATACTGCCTTTCTCTCACTCTGTGTCTGTATAGACCCCAGTCCTGCAAAGGCGTCACCGATATTTAACTTTATGCACACGAGCAGTCCTGTCAAACCGACAGTGTCACCTATGTGCTTAAAGCTGAACACATTTAAACTGTGAGTGGGCCCCCTAGGAACTACCATAATAGAAAAAATAAATAACCACAGTTACAATGAGTAGTACCTTATTCCATGAGTCTTTTCCATTTACTTTAATGGGACTATTTGCTTGACTCACTGTTCAAATTCCAAATACAATCTGCTAAAATCGGATTTCCAGTCGTGGAGTTTTAGATTTACATTTCAATGTAAATTCAGCCAACTTTTATTGTACGTCCTTCCCCAACCCCGAAAGTATCAAAGAAAACAAGTCTAAAATGAAATGATCTTAAAGGAAATAAACAGGAAGGACATACTGACACACAAGTGCACATAAGCAGATCCATAATTGTGGGACAATAACTGATACAGCAGCCTAGAAGCCTGTAGCTATATTTTATAAATTCTAAAGAAAAACAAACCACCATATTTTTCTCCTATGACACGCAGGCACAGTTTTATTCCTTCCTTCTAAGAATTAACAGGTTCATTTATAGTTGATATTTAACAAGCTAGAATGTCCTTCTAAATCAGTCACTTAGGAGCATTTTAGAGCATGTGTCAAAGACAGGGGTTGGGCAAGTCACTTGATATTTTGCACAGAAGAAAGAATTAGCCAATGAGGAAAAAACCCATGCTGCATAAGTGAGAAGGACGGTCTATATACAGAAGTACATAAGAGGCTGATTGCCCTTCACTAGAGCATGGGACTGAGAGGTAAGTTAAACTACTGAACAGCGTAAACTTGTTAATTTATGCATAGTGCAAGAATACTAATAATACTAAATTTAATGGTGAATAACAGCATCTAACAGACCTCTGGAAATCTACTGCAAAAAACAAATCATTATTTGCAAAGGCAGCAGAAAGGTAAGAGACTTTTATTTTCCTGGTGGCAGAAACACTTACCGTAAAAGTAAACTTGGAAGGTGAAATTATGGGCCCACTGAAGCCAATGGCAAAATTCCCATTGACTTCAAAGGGCCAGGATTTCACCCAGAGTCTACAAGCACAGAATTAGGACCAAATCTGTTTTTTACTGAAGTCAGCAGCAACACTGCTATTGACTTTAGTAGGATAAGGATCTGGCCCTTATGTAAGAAAATATTTCATTTCTGTGCACTCTTTTTATATTAAAGATTTTTATGCTAATGGGAAAAGCATACAGTCTATGGTCAGAGATTACCAATCAATAACATAACAAATGTAATATGGATCAGAGGTGACCAAGAAAAAATAGTACCAAACAAAGAAGCTGAAAGAAGGAGCTTCTTGTTTCTGGTGGAGTTCACAAAACATTAAGCCGGAAAGAACAGCTTGCTTTGAAAAAACAATATCTTTGGAGGGTTATAAAGAAATTTTGTTGTGACGAGAGTTTACAGCAGAATATTCTATATACACAGAGAGAGAGGGTAGATGGGAGTCACGGAATCAGGATCTGATTTACATTCAAGTGCTATAGCTAAGTCTCAGAATGAGCTTTGATTGTATTTGGTTAAGGGGCTCTTCAAGTTATAATTCCCCTGTGTGATTATTAGATATTTTATATAGGTAGGCATATGTAGATCTATCAATATATATGGTTAATTTGTCTTTCAATTCCCAGTTCATTCTTCTAATGGGTTTATTTATTTACCCAATGTTCAGTTGGTATAATCCTTTTATAATATTGCATGTTTTTTCCCCAAAATTTCCTGCTATCAGATATATTTTCAAAAGGG